TTCAGTATCCTGAGAACCGAATCTCACGTCGAAAAGAAATGTTTAAGGAAATAATTACTATGTAAGAAACTTAAATCATCCAATGTGATCGAGATAAAATTGTGGTTACGCCGTGTTAAGCCCGTTGAGCCCGCATAGCAAGTAACCGTGTGTTATTCGATAGTAACATCGATTATGCAAATGGTTCTCTAACCACGAAAAGTGGCCTCTTTAAATTTAATGTAATAAAGGTTTGCCATCGAGTTTACCAATATCCTCTTCTTTGATAGCGTTCTCAAAGGAGTAGAGTCTATAAAGATTGCCCTCGAGGAAAGAAAGCAGTTTGTTGGGAAGAAAGCACTGCTTAAAAAAGGGCGAATACCTTTTTTTTACAGGGGACAGTATCCTTCCCTTTTCGTAGAAAAAGCAATTTTTACAGGATAGCTCTTTGCCTGAGAAAGTAGCGTGTTTTTTCTTCTTTTTAAATTTATACGGATGAAACTCGAATTAACCTAGAAAAATGTAAGACAGAGGAATATGACGAAGGAGGAAGGAAGGAGGAAATTAATTGTTCAGTTTTTCGATCAGTATTACTTCCTGTAATTTTATGAACAATAATTTGTTCGAGACAGAGGCACAGACACCGTTATCCATTCGATCATAATCTCTATATTCTCATTATAGCTCAGATCACGACACATTGTCGTGATTACAAACACAAAACTATCGAAGATAAGTATAATTTATGCGAAGGAAGATTGTTAGGACGGAAAGGATGTAATAAGATACAGTACGGTTTATGAACATTCCTGTTAGTCTTTGTTTTCTCTTCTGTGAAAATTCATTATACCACAGCTGTTGCACAAACTCTGACCATTTTAATTGCTGTCTACGAATATTGCAATCCAGTTTCTAATATTAGATAAGGATCGACATACGAGGATTCGCGAAAGAGACTTTACCAACATCCGTGATGGCACTCTCGCAAGATATCGCAAAGCCCTGATAACATTCAGTCCAATTCGTACTACTGCTATTATTTACGTACACAGAGTACGTAAATGATAAAACGTAAACCCTCGCGAGCTAATAAATATCGCAATTAGAAATTTATTCTTTCCACGCTAGGACGAATATTCAATTATTTAGCAATCTAAATATTTCCATAGCACGAAGACTATACAAACGATCGTCATATTTACCTCAATCACTCTAACTGAGCAAAACTTCAAAGAATATAGCAAATACGTCCCAACTTGCTATACAAATAATTTCTATAACTTCACAGTTATGCTAAGCACTTAGAGGCTATCGATACGATCGTTACGCTTATAAAAGAAGCCCCAGGATCCCGAAAACCAACAAATTCTCGAAGTCTGAACGATCGAATACGGCGAAATGCAGGAGAATCAGAATGAAAAACCTTGACTCGGCTAATTATAGAGGCGGGTCTTGAGCAGTGCTCGGCCTTGAGAGTCACTGGCCGGCATCACGATGCACGCATCGCCGTCAAACGCAGCGGTGCACGTGTGCATTCGAGTGTGGCGTGTGCATACGAAGCTATGAATGGAGCGAACTCTGCCCTCGACTTCCTATGCACCCTTCCTCCGGCGCCTTTGGTACACCGTGTGGTTCCTTTCCCTAGTTGCCTTCGTGATTTCCCTCTGATCCTCTCGCCGTTTCCTTCAACCTTTCTCCTTCCACGAACCACCGTCTCTCGACCAATCTGGCGTTCAGCCGCCGGCAAAAGAGCATAACGCGTGTAACGTGACGTTTCACACACGCGAGAGACCGGGTACCAAGGCTGCCGGGTACTCACGCTGGATAACCTTTGTCTCTGGTACAAGGTGATGGTGGCGACCATTGTACCTGTAAATGGTAACTCACACTTTCCGCTTTGTATACGAATGCAAAAGAAAGAAAAATGCCGTGTAAATTGTCTTTATTCGTATTTCATCGAAATTGGAAATTCAAAGCGATCAGTGAACTACGAATTTTTCTGATTTTTGTGAAATTTAAAGGTATAGAAATGCGCACGATGCGTATGATATGGAAAAATAAAAAAAAAACATTCGAAATAGAATATGTACTGTAATATTTGATAGATGAAACGAGCTTTTATTTAAATTTCATTTTGTTTTACGTTTGTTTAGAAAATTTAAAAATGCGTAGGAATCCGCAGTCCCATAACGAGGGGAAGGGGGCAAAGTAAAGTAAATTAATAGGATAAAAACGATCAGCGTTGTGCAATAGTTTCTCCATAGTTAGAGTAAATTGTATAAGACTATCTCGAATAGTAACTTTATTCACTATGACTTCGACGACCCTTCCTGTAATCTTTGCACACCGACGCTCGAAGGGCAATTTGAAGTTCCTTACAACAAATTTCTCATTCGATTCTTTTCTGAAAATGAGATCGTTTTTCCAAGACACGTCCGTTCCTTTGCCATTGTCCGCTTTGCACTAGGCAACTTGATTCTGTTCTTTTATGGACCCAACAATAGACTAGTTTCTTCCATATGAGCTTTACCGGTTCTTACAACTAATGGCGTCCTAATTCTTTTTGTTGTCATTTCCTCAACTTTCTGTTTGTTTTCTCGAAGTCGTTAGGAATGCAAGGAAGAAATTCCCACACAAAAAATCGATAGTGCAACTTTGTTTCTTTCCTCCGTTACTTGCACGAAGGGAAAATTTACGAAAGTTTTGTCTCAGCGACTTTGATTTCATTTGCAGAATTTCATTTGGAGAATTAATCTTCTGATTAATCGTGGATAAGAAGATTTAGCGAATCGTTTCGTCGAATAGATGTTACAGAGAATGTTCGAATATGTCGGTGGAAATATTTATAAAATAATGCATTTACAAAGTCCTGCAGTGGATGTTGTGAAAATATTTAGAAACTTGACTTCTTGATTATTTCTAACAACTTCTATTTTCCCTATTTCATCTCGATTTATTTGTTCAAATACTTTAAACTCATGGATTTCGCAGTAAGAATATAGCAAGTAGAAACGATCAGTCCTGGGCAGACACACAATCGCGTGGCCCATTCCACTCGATAAAAGTACCTGTCCTCATTCATTCGACCATTAATACATTACTAATACATCTGTATCCCTCATTAAACCTTCTTACTGAAAAAATTACACTTTTCAATATGCAAAAAGAAAAATCATTCGACGATACATCATATTACTATCGATTCTCATCATCCAATTTCCATGTATCAATGTCTCTATAATTCGCAACACATTCGATAATCTACTCTCCGCGAATAAATCAGTTTCGCGTGTCACGCGATAAACATTCACATTCATTTCCATCTTGTGGTATCTTTCACACTGAAATCCTATTATCCTCATTGACGGGATCCCTTGTCTTGAGCCACATTTAGCTACAAATTGGGCACGCCATACACCTTCAGTGGCTCGGAAATGAATTTATCGCAGGGCTGCGTTGCACTTTAAGCCACTCCGACGGTTCTACGCTCTCTCTCTATTTTTTATATCTTTTTTATTTTCCCCTTTTGTTCGATCCTGCGCGTCGAACAAAGGCCAACAACGAAATTTTTTTTTTTTTTTGTTCAAACCGAAAAAATCGTTACGAGGCAGTCAGGGGTTATTTCACGATCGCGTTATTCTAGCGTGCACAGCTCCATTACAAATTATTCCGCGGTGATTCCGCGTAATCCTATTCACTTGGTGGAATAGGTTTTGAAAGGGAAACCGGTCACGCTTCCGGTGCGTCGAAAATTCACCTGGAAATTCGAGCAAAATGAGTCATTCACCATCGAATCGAGCTAGAAGCGATCTACTAGAAAATAAAGCGACGTATAGTTTAAATCGCTTTTGCATTTTGAACACTTAGTTTCCCTTCTATCCTTTTTTACTGATTAATTTTGATTCGTTTCGTGTGTATTATATTTTACATGATTTTTATCTCATTTTATACAGTTAAATTTTCATTTGCTTGTGATTGTGTTTCGGAATCGATGATACAATAAATGGAATTAAATGTCCTTTTTGTCTTTTTGAATGTTTAATTTTTCTTTTGGACGAGTTTCGTAGTTTAGAGTATTAATGTTGGCCCAGTTTTGTGTCCGAAATATCAATTTTAAGGTATTAATTTCGCTCCACTTTGGTATTTAAAATTCCCTTATTTGCGAATTTAAAATATTTTTCGCAGAGCAGAGTAACGTTTGAGGACTGATGATACGATAAATTGGATTGAATGTTCGTTTTTATTTTTTTATCCTTCTTCATCGACACAAATTGATAACGTGGAAATATTGATTCGCAAATGCTTATTTTTTCTATATCCAATCACAGATTACCTTTATTTATAGTAATAAGTATTATCGGTATTTTAAAATTAATCCTCATGTTCATTCGTAAATTTACTCGTTAATACGATATACCGAGTGCTCCTATTTATTTTCCATATTTCAAATAAAATTTGGATACCGAAATCAAATAAGATTGGAAACATCGCAATTTCGACAACTGAAATTAAATTTAAACAGACGCTAGTTTACCTTTCCTTAATTACATTTTCATTTTATGTTATGTTTCATCAGACGCGTGTATCGTCGTTAATTTTGTTCGCTTGTAACCTGTGTTCGTGTAAAGCTATTAGTCAGAGAATCAGAAATTGTTTCTATAACTGTACGTGCTTAGGAATGCACAGTGTCATGAAAGTATTCTTGTAGACATTTCTTACGAAGGTTTCGAATTCCATAAAATCCAACAATCCGAATAAATATAATTACTAAAATGTTCTTTCTTTGATAAATTATTAATATACATATGTGTCGTTTCCTAGTAAAAAGTTGCATCAAAGAACGAGACATTATGATCCATAATTTACGAAACGAATTTTTAATTAATGATAAAGTTCGCCACGTCATCTGATATAAATAAAATTGGAGAAGTGATTTTACATTTTTGCATGGTGGTGTATAAACTATGTTATGCTACACGTTCTGGACAGTGTGGTCATTGAAACGGAACGATCTGTCGCAGGTTGCAGGTACGAGGGTCGCAGATACGAAGAGGGCACGTCGGTGGTCACGTCCGAGCCCTGCTTGCAGTGCAGGTGCAGTGACGGTGCGCTGAGATGTCGTCTTCGAGTTTGTCCACGACTGCCAAACCCACCACCCACCGGATGTCGCGTTCGTTCGCCAGGAGAGAACGTCTGTTGCCCAGAATTAATTTGCAGCGAGACACGTTAGTACGATTATGAAAAATGTCTCAACTTCGCTCGGTTATGTTATACATCGTGAAACCAATCTGTTCTAAATTAGAATTATATAATGTAAAATAACATGTAATATTAGCAAAGAACGATGAAAACGATATAATATAATAATTTTATTTTATTTATTCGGCATACACCTTTGTATTTGAACCGAGTTATTTCTTTGCTAATACTAGATATTATTAGTTTCAATAAAAAAGCTCTAATAAACAATTTATTCAGGATACAGAGAGTTAAAGATGAATGAACATTTTCAGGTGACGCCATGAACATGCTACGAAGGTCTAACGTTCACGTGGAGGCAGAAGAGAAGGTTGAGGAACCTCAGAACTCTCGTTTTCAAGGTAATCATCGCAGAACTGTAGACAGAGGGAATTTAGAGACACCCGAAACTCGCTGGGCAACGATTATATTGATGTTGGATATTGTTCTTGCAACTTGTTATGGTATTAGAGAATAGTAATCGAATAGGCGTTGAAATATCGCTATCGGAATAAGATTGTTAACATTGCCACTAAGTTTGCCGAAACTGATGTGCTTGCACTTATTTTTAGCAAGTTTATAGAGTGGAGAATGGTCGTTGTGCTTTACGACGTAAGGGAAACTGTGGTTTACACCTTCTTCGTTGTTATCATAATCTACGATATGCTACCGCGGCCTACTATTCGAGGGCTAGTGCTGTTATTACCCTCCACTTCATTGGTATTACAGTTTACGACTTGAAAATTATCGCTCCTATAACCTATGATTTAGAGTTGCTGCTATCTGGCCCCACAATTTAGCAAACTTACCATTAAGGCTTGTAGGATTTTAATTTCTGCGAACGTTTGCTACCCATTCCTGTTATTTCTACCCTGTGTGCAATCTTTTTAATAATTATACAAGCTACAATCGTAAATTAGAATTGCGAACTAGGTTCTTTATCTATCTTTTCTTTTCCTTCTTATTCTTTATCTTATAGGTCACTATCATTTCACTCCTTACAATATTCAAATGGTTTTACTTTTCGAGATTAAAAAGTCTCACGATCCTAAGACCTTAGACTTAAGGATTTGGAATTATAAATCCGCAAAAAAATTACAATTACGAGGTATTCATTGATTCAGAAAGATATCGGTGCATCTTCTTTCTTTTGAAAATATCTTCAAGTCCCACTGAAATGAGACTCAACGACATTTATTAACAGTTTTTTTTTAACATAGATAAGCAATGTATTCTTTCAGAATATTCAATAGTATAGCTCTGAAAGGTACATATAGCGCGAGTAAGAAGTAAAGTTGCTTTCTCAAAGCAGACCACGTTCGAGAGTGGTTGTAGTTAAAAGATTCAACATCAGGCTGATGGTCGGTGGTGTTAACAATCAGGTTGCCTGCATGAGGGCGTGAGATACGGGCCTGGCTCGGCGATGATGGGCTCACGTAGATGCGAATACTGCTACTGCATCTCTGGAGCGAGAAAATGCATCAGACCAAAGTGCCTGCTGCCCCTGCCAGGATGCACTCCACTGTATGCCCCGCACTCCTGCTGCCCGGTTGCCTACAATTGCACCCGTGAGTGTAGTCTTCATTCGCCGCGAATCCAAATAATAACTCATACTGCATTCTCTTTTTCTCTGTTCTTTAAGATCTCCATTCGTCGACGCTGGCGCCGATCACGGGAAACGGTGAGTGAAACGTTTCATTTATTCCCCCTTTTTCTTTTCTTTCTTCTTTTTTTTTGCATGGAAGAAGCTGAGTCAAGAAGCCGTACGTTCGAATCTCAAAGGTTTCGAAAGCAATTGCAATTACGAATTATTCATTGAATCAAACGGAGTACGCAACTATCATTTTCATCCCTGCAATTTTCGAAAGATTTTAGCTCCGGAAGCTTCTGCTTCCCGAAGTTTTCAATCTTACGTCTTTGAAGTATTTGCTTTCGTGTGCGAAGGATTGTAAAATTGGTGGTTAAAAAAAGAGTATTTTAATATGCAACATATAAGAAATATTTTTAATTCAGAGATACAATGGATCGTTCGTTAGCCGGTTCCACTGATCTAGTAGTTTATCTCTAGTGTAAAACTAAATTGTTTATAGTTTGAAAAATAAGCGTCGAAGGAAGCTTTTATGCAGGGACTTTCTTCATTGGCTTGAAGTCCAGAATAGTACCCGTACGATCAATATCCTTCGCGCTTGTTTTAGCATTCCGTAGACAGTATTGTACGTATATGTATTGCACGTATGCGTAGTAAAACTTTTCTCAATTATAACTAAGATGCGGAACAAAAAGTGGTTCGCATAACGGGCAGAAAAAGAGAGACGAAAGAGGAATTCTTAAAAAGCCTTTCGTAAGGATAATTAGATGGTACTCGGTACGCGATAAAACCTGACGCAATTTAAAGGGATTAAAGTTCGCCATGCAACGTCTCGCTGATTTTGCGCTGCGATGCGATTTTTCCTCATAAGCTGAGCTTAAATTTAAACTCGGCCAGCAAGCCGAATGGAGGGAGAGAGCCAGTCGGCTTCTTCCAAAGCGGCTGATACAGCGACCGAAGCAAACTTTCCTTTTTATCGCGTTAAACTTTTCGTCGCAACTTTCACCGGATAGAGGGCCGGCTCTGTCTGAGCGGCTTTTCAGAAAAGACGGAACCGAACCGACTGCTTCTGTTTGCCAGACGATCACTAACCTACACGTTGAGCATAAATAGGCGATTGGATATACTGAATTAACTCGAAAGTCGAATTTTAAAGAGCGTTCGATTCGTATACCGGATATTCGACCAACTATTTAAAGACTTTGATGTATTCGCTTCTCTTACGCTCATCCACAGTATTTATATTTTTGTATATTGCCACAGTTTAAAAATATCGTTAATTTTTTTAAAACCCTGTAAAAGTATCTGGTTACTTGGTAGGACTAAAAGCGAGTCGTTATAAAAAATTAACGGCCAATTCATATCACCATAATATTATATTATTGGAAATATTAAATATGAAGTTCTCACTAACAAATAAACAATTACCGATAAATAGATGAATTTTATTAAATATTTCGTGTATCTACGTATCTATCGCGCTAGGCAATAACTTGATGCAAGTTAACCCTAGCAGTAAGATACAACGTCGTTTCTAATCTTTCTCAACCTACTTCTAGACATTTATATTTCATATGTTAGATATTACAAGCGGAAATTTCTACCTATTTTGACTGTGTTTTCCACGTTTCCCATATAATAAAAATGATCAAATTTGGTACTTATGGAGGATAATGTACGTAACACGTACATATACACACATGCACGCGCGTTAGAAAGTTGAAGGGAAACGTTTTAATGCAATAATAGTTCGCTCTGCCAGTCGACGTTACGTTATCCCGTGACACTTCGTGCTTCGAAAAGATTTCCACCACGACAGCGGCCGCCGTTTCTCCGCTCGTTCACTTAACGCCCAGTTTCATTCAATTTTACGACGGCGGCCACCCTTTTCTTCCGTGGAAATGAGAAATCATGTTTCCCGGAAAATCTGACGCGTGAAACGACGACGTGCAACATTTGTTTTACTTCCGCGAATTTTTGCTTTCGACACTACATCCCTGCAGTTACTTAGAGCTGACGTTTTTATCTGCTGGATTTTTCTACTCCTTCTTCATTATTATCATTCGTTTCGAAAAAGTACTTTTATCTGTATTTTTGTATTAAAAGTATTTCCATACAATTTTATCGCGCAACTTTCGTACGCTTTTTTCATTTTACAACGTTTCGTTACAAGCTTTTTGATTGATCTTTTTTAAGTGTACTATTGTGTGTTCTTTTGGAATTATTTTGATTGGATTTGTGCAATTGACATTTCAATTTGCCATTTCTAGTTCATTTTTTAAATTCTATCGACAGATTGTTTTTTTTTTTTTTATTTAAATTCATCTTTCACGTTGCCTTTTTCATATTTAACCTGCGAAAACAAAAAATCTACTTTACCAAATCAATAGAGAATCGTTCTGCTCGTTTCGCTATCGAGATACCGTGTCTCCGCTCATAAAGAATTACACGCGAAGCGTATCCATTTCACCTGTCTGGATTCTACATATTTTCAATACATCTTATGTTATACAGGGTGGTTGGGAACTGGCGGTACAAGCGGAAAGGGGGTGATTCTACGCGAAAAAAGAAGTCGAAAATATAGAATAAAAATTTTTTTTTTCATTTTTCCATCGAGACAAGGATCTACAGTGAGATCCGCTATAACGAGACGCGATAAAGTGCACGCGTACCGAGCGAAAATTCAAAGTCGATTTTCTCGAAAACAAAGCCTCGAACGAAAAAATTCTATATTTTCGACTTCTTTTTTCGCGTAGAATCACCCCCTTTCCGCTTGTACCGCCAGTTCCCAACCACCCTGTATAACATAAGATGTATTGAAAATATGTAGAATCCAGACAGGTGAAATGGATACGCTTCGCGTGTAATTCTTTATGAGCGGAGACACGGTATCTCGATAGCGAAACGAGCAGAACGATTCTCTATTGATTTGGTAAAGTAGATTTTTTGTTTTCGCAGGTTAAATATGAAAAAGGCAACGTGAAAGATGAATTTAAATAAAAAAAAAAAAAACAATCTGTCGATAGAATTTAAAAAATGAACTAGAAATGGCAAATTGAAATGTCAATTGCACAAATCCAATCAAAATAATTCCAAAAGAACACACAATAGTACACTTAAAAAAGATCAATCAAAAAGCTTGTAACGAAACGTTGTAAAATGAAAAAAGCGTACGAAAGTTGCGCGATAAAATTGTATGGAAATACTTTTAATACAAAAATACAGATAAAAGTACTTTTTCGAAACGAATGATAATAATGAAGAAGGAGTAGAAAAATCCAGCAGATAAAAACGTCAGCTCTAAGTAACTGCAGGGATGTAGTGTCGAAAGCAAAAATTCGCGGAAGTAAAACAAATGTTGCACGTCGTCGTTTCACGCGTCAGATTTTCCGGGAAACATGATTTCTCATTTCCACGGAAGAAAAGGGTGGCCGCCGTCGTAAAATTGAATGAAACTGGGCGTTAAGTGAACGAGCGGAGAAACGGCGGCCGCTGTCGTGGTGGAAATCTTTTCGAAGCACGAAGTGTCACGGGATAACGTAACGTCGACTGGCAGAGCGAACTATTATTGCATTAAAACGTTTCCCTTCAACTTTCTAACGCGCGTGCATGTGTGTATATGTACGTGTTACGTACATTATCCTCCATAAGTACCAAATTTGACCTTTCTTTTATATTACGTATGACGAAGTACTAAACAGAAACCTAATCGTATCCACATATAAAGAATGTACTTATACCGTGTCTTTACCTGGCAAAAATGATACCTCAAATATACTCATTTTCTCTGTCAGAATTCTTCGTATTTCCGATACATTCATCCCTTTGAGATTTTTTATATTTATATTTATATATATTTTTCAGAGATATTATACACAAAGCTATTCGCGTCTATGTAGAGAATCAGTTTACATATTCCAGCATCGAGCTGCTATATCGTGACTTTACTTTTCCACCCTCAGAAACCACATACCCCTTTCAGCATTTACCAAAAGACCAACACTCTCGGATGCCGTTGCTTGTCCATTTAACGGCCAGTTACACGCGGCCGCTCAAAACTTAAACCTCCCTCCAAAGCCTCGTTTCCACCCCATTAGAAGTCCATTCGAACCGCCGCGCGCCGACTTAATCCCGCACAGTTGCCAGCAAACTATCCTCGAAACTAGCCTCCTCTGGCATCGCCTAAAGTCTCGTCCACTGCAAGTCCGCCGTGAAAACACTGAATAACGATCGAACACCGGGTCCCATTGTTCGCTTCTCGTCATCGATCGACAGCAAGGCGTCTAATAACGGCCTCAGGGCGGTATCTTCTCGATAGAACTTAAGTTAGGATCGTCTCGTCGATCGATATTGACTTCCTACGTCCTTTTTGTCCAATCGCCATATTCGGCGATGGCGCAAGGAGATTGGCTGTTCGTTGCTTTATGACAGCTTCCGGAGAGCAGATTTCGAAACTGCTACCCTCGGAACCGTTTCGGCGTTTCGAACCGAACGAGAGGTGATCGGAAAGTTAAATTAGCGGATTAGCGAAGTGATCCTGTTTCGATTTCCGAGAATAGGGCTGTAATAGATTGAGACTTCAAGTATAGCGTATGTATTCGATTTGAAAGTCGTGCGTATCAAATGTGTCGGATTTAAGGGATTTTTGTAGGATAAAGACTGTTAACAAATATACCCAACGACTGAATGAATCAACGAAATAGTCGTATAAACGCCACTGATCCTTATCATCCAACGAAACGTTTTTTAAACAGGTTTAACAGATTCTATTCGCTCGAATAGTGTCAAATTTTTGTAATCACGCGAGAGTACGAAATTTAATTAATTAATATGTAAGTGTTATAGCAAATAGACTGGTGTGCCAATGCTCTTTGCAACCGTTGTATGTTACGACCAGTTACGTAATTTATCGTTTAAATTCTTCAGCTAACAAAAAGGTTTGGTTCACAGGGTGTCGCGTGGGTTCGAGAGTGTACGAGGAGGGTGAGATGGTTCGGGACATCGAATGGAAGGCCGCCTGTGATAACTGTTTCTGCGCGATGGGCGCGGTACGTTGCGTGCCTCTTGCTTGTGCACCTCCTCTTCAAGGCTGCAGCCCGATCGTACGCGAGGGACACTGCTGTCCATCCACCTATAACTGCAGTGAGTCGTAATGCCTTCGCATCAGGGTTGCCGCGATTTTGCCCCGCCCGACTGACACGCCCGGATTGTGTTTTCCGGTTCGTGACCAATTACTCTCACCCTAAGACGAGTAACCTGTCTCTGAGTCAATCATGCTTCACACCGATGCTATCGTCGCTTCTTTCTCGATAACGATCGTACACGTGGTAAATTGCGTATCTTAAATTACTCTGTCGTTGTGACACGGCTGAAGCTTCTCTTTTGTCAAATAATATTCGGTCTAGAGAGGATTTTCATTAGAGACGATTTTTATTAGTTGCATCTTTTACGCTTCCACGTTGAACTTTTTAATTCGCGCATAACTTTTCTTCTTTCTTTTCGGCTACGATTCTATTCCCTAGGAAAATAGGGATACTGAAATTAATTTAACAAATATAACAGTTTCCTTTGCTTCAAACGACGACAGGACCAGCGGAAATATATCGAGAGAAATGGAAAAATTTCATCTAGCAAGCTCGTTAAATTTCATACTAACAATCGTCAATTCTCGCTGCGCAAAATGGGACCATTTTTATCTGAAAGTTACTTTTGAGATTGTTGATAACGATACTGGACAGTGCACGCATCTAGCTTTTATCGTTTCTTTAGTTCATTTTCTTGTTTCTTCTAACGAAATGCTATTGAATTTTGTACGTAGAAAAATCTTGCATTTACTTGAAAATCGAAGAGGATAAGAGGCACTTTGAATTCACCCATGAAGATTATCGATTTAAAACGATGGATCGTCATTGAAACGATCTGTTGAGGATTCACTGCTAAACAGACGACGAAAAGATCCTTGCACGATCAAGGATAAGATAGAAAATCGTAAATCAAACCTCGTTTTTGATCGATTGGGCTAGTCGTTGAAATTGGTACCAGGGAATTCATGGGCAAAGTTAGTTTTGGTAGGGCGCGAAGATGGGGTATGAAATCGATGGTTTGTTACTACGAAGATATTGGAGTTGAAGTTGGAGGATTTCTCCGGAGGCATCGAGTGAATTTTTTAGCAGGAAACCCTGGGTACGGACGAATAAGTTTTGAATCGAGTTAGTGAATGAGAACGTGAAATGGCCAACAGGTCACTGAATGGGAATATGGAAAGCTTTATATATTTTTTTGAACATCGTAATACTCTCGAATTGAAGCGAATCGGCCAGAATTAAATAAATTCGAACAGAGAGTTTCCATTTTCTGGAAAACAACAAATTTTAATTCTTTGTCCCTTTTTTACGTTTTATTGTTTCGCGAAAAGAATTAAACGCGCAAATAACTATGCCGTTTTTCATAAAAATTCCAGACTTAATCTCGTAAGCTTGAAAACGTCACGAAACGGCGGAAGTTGGATTGAATTAGGAAATCGCGCAGGAAGCGTGGAATCGCGTGGAAAATCATTAAATTTAAATGCTCGGTTGAGTATCCGGATTCCGTGAAAAGGATAATATCCTCGGCGATTTCATGGTTCTGGAAAAGATTGGAATTTTTATCTCAACCTCAATTTTTCGTTTCGGCCGTAAAAGAGTCGCAATAACGACATTGCTCAAAGTTTAATTATCAAATGCCAAGGATCATGCTACGAAAATTTGCAGCAACCTATTAACATAAAGTCTTACAAGATTTTATTAAAATACATTTTTTTTTTAGTGAAATTAATTTTAATCTTTCCTTTCAGCTCGAAAAACCACGATAATGATATTCCTCAAAATTTAATTATCAACCACCAACGGTCTTTCCACAGATATTTAATCAAAACTTATTAAAATAAGATTTCAAGTTAGTGAAATACATTTTGGATGAAATTAAAGTGAAATAAATATTTGTCGTTGGTAAACCGTAGAGGAAGGTAGAAAAAGATATTATTTCTGGGAAAAATCTTGTAGTTTCTTGAACGAGCTGACTTTAGGCAGCACTTCCGGACACAGGAGGCGAACGATCGTTCCAATTTCCTTCCGTGTTGCTTATTAGAGGAGTCGGGAAAGAAAAGACGGAAACACATAAGCCGGGTGGGGCGCCCAGCAAAAACCCTGTGCTCTTTCACAACCCTGATTACCACCTAGGTGTTTTAGCCCGAATGCCATAAGAAACTGACAGATTAAACGTTCAAGGCGGTAGCATCGAGGTTAAGGCCACCCAGAACTACGCCTCGTACGCGTTCATCAGCAAGGACTACGCCAAGTTTCGCAAGGAGACCAATTTCTTTGTACGTTTTTCATTCATTTCCTATTTTTAATCTCTTCGGGCATTCTCATATAACGAATAACTAACTTTTTAACGTATTTAAATAATTCCTTCTGTTCGCTAATCGACGCTTAAAAGTTATTGGAACAAACCGACCAATACGAGACGATCATTTTCTTAATAAATAAGAGATCATTTTCTCGTAAATTTCAACTTGGTACTTCTAGCGTCAAATGAATTTCACCTCGTCATTTTTTCCATTTCCTACTCAACGTTACAACGAAGTTATTCGAAACGACACGATCATTTTCTCAAATTTGAATTTTCCATTCCATCACCTGACCAATATCTCGTGAATTTTCCACTCCATCACCTGATCAATATCTCGTGAACTTCAACGCACGCTGCACACGTTCTAATACAGCGATTATAATATCCTTTTAATTACAAATAGCTGAGGAGAGGAACGCAAGAAGCTGAAACGCTAATCCATCTTCCGTTTCACGAACAGTTTCCGAAGCATCGGACGTTAAGCGACAAAATCGTCGAGACAAATGATCGTATAATTGTTTCGAACGGGTAACAGTCGGCTAACAAATATGAGAACAGAGTCGATTCATCGAGGAGGACGGATCTCTCGGCGAGGAATGCATCGCGTTGCGTTCCTCGACTAACTAAGTTAAATGTCTGACACGGCGTCCGCTCGTGGCAGGATTGCATTAATTAAATTCCATCCCGCTTGTAAATCACGTGGCATCGGCCACGTACCAACCAAACCGTCTTTTATGACGATGGATGACAGGTGAAATCGGGGTTCGTGCCTATCAGACGATCAGACGCGTCCGGTTAAGATAAACTGCCTTATTGATCGTTCAATCGTCGATATTTTTTATTGACAAACGGTTGACATTTATGTCTGCTTGTTAATTTTGATAAATTTGGAAGTGCACTGACAACGAGCATTGTCTTGTCGCGCAACTTTGAGAAATATTGTCACGATAGTTAATAGGTAGATCGTACGCGTTTACACGAATTTATATCAATATGAATATTTTCTAAATTATTTATGTCTCGTGATATTTCCTATGTTTCGTATATCGTAAATCCGTATATCTTTCAGATCGTCCTATCTAACTCCGATCTATCTCAAACTGTCGTAATACCCCGTGATCCATTAGTACGTTTAATAGTACAATGCTTGCATAACGCGAATCTCTACGATTTAATTGCTCGACGATTCTCAATATCCAATGAGTCGTGAACTCGACAATTCGATCACTTAATAACTCGTTCGCTTAACAACCGAATAACTCTATCACTGACCATTTTCAATTAATTCGCTATTCATACGAAGCACTGATAGCCATTCCTTTCTATCGGTGATCAAGATTATATAGCAACGAAACTGATAATGGCGAATATTCCATGCAGCCGGCAGTTGATCAGACAAACCTAACCCACGCGAATGCTCTGGTCGAGGGACGCGGTCATCGAGTAGTCGAGGAACGAATCGATTCTAGTACGAGGCAGGTCGTGGAGGAATCTTCGGTCTCCACCGATTCTACATCCTGGCCATCCACCTTCGAGACCGACATCATGGACAACGAGATCCTCGAGACGGTGGACTACGTGAAATCTAGCCCGGCAATCGTCACTACCACTCCCGTCATCGTCGAAGAGGTAATTCTTGAGTAATACGAAGAAATTCGTGAAACGTTCGCAAAGTAGACACGAGACAGATTTTTCCTATTTTTCTCAGATTTCTAACATTCTAGATATTTCTAATATCTTTGATATTACGTAGACGGAAACTAAAAAAGAAAAAAGGCCGTATAGATAAACATCATTTTACAGTCAACGACGAGCGTGGACTCGACCACGCTGGAATCAACTTTGTCGATCAAGGATGACGATTTCTCGAATGACTCGTCGACGATTTTCTCGACGAACAGCGTTGGCGAGTCGACGACGATCAACGTGATCGAGGATCTGTCGTCGCAGGACGATACGACGACCACTACGACTAGGACGACCACCACGACTACGACGACGGCGACTAAGGAATCAACGACCCTGTTACCGGAAGCGAGCGGGATCGATACAGTGACGGAGTTACACGAGTCAGAGGAGGAGAAGATGCACAACGTGACCGTGAGGAACAAGAATACGACCCCGTCGACGAGCGGAAAGCTCGAGCAGGATTTCGAGCACGCCAACTCGACGGTTAGTGTGCAAACAAATCGCTCGAGGATAACAAATAAATCGAGGATACTCCAGTGGATACAAGCGAGACTCCCTTGGCTCGATCTCTTGGAAAATATTACCCAAACTCCGGATGGTTTATACTCGATTGACGGGAAATAGAGCAATTTTGATTAACATTTGCGTAATCGGAAATTGGATAAAGACACTATAGGCGTTTCTGCTTTTTTAATATTGTGAAATGCTTGTCGAAAATTTATTTGAACGTGACCTGAAGAGTACACGATGTAGGCATTGGTAGGATTTCATATAAGACGAGAAACGAAAGGGATTTTTATTAAGATTTTTATTAATATTTATGTAATTGAAAATCTCAAGGACGGTATAGGTATTCTTACTTCGTGATATTTAAAAATATTTGATGCAAATTTAGTTGAATCACGAGTTTAGCAGCGAACTATGTAGACATTCGTAGGATTAGAGACAAAGTGAGAAATGGAGGGATTTCTATAAAAATTTGCGTAATCGAAAGTTAAGAGGAAAGAAACTTTCTAAATTTATGAAAAATCATAGGATCGTTCCTCTACGCGTGTCTCTTAAAATATTAGGCACGTTACACGCTGTCGACTTGACAATCGTTGATCGATTAACGTCTAGTTTGACAAGCAGTCGATATCAATTCGCGGATAGAGTCAAAACCATATAACCTGTTGCCATTAGGTGGAACCAGTGCAGACCACGGAGTCGATGGGCAAAGGGTCCGTCACCAGAACGTCATCCACCGTACTAATGCCGGACGACATTCTGGTGATGAACGTGACTGTGAAAACGAACGTCTCGGTAGGTCACATACATGGTGTGACCATCAACCCGATTAGATCGATCCCGCCGGATGTCGAGGCTATCCTGAACATCACTCACCGTGAGAAAGGCGAGGATTATGATTACGATTATAGCGAGCCAACGTTGCCGCCGTCGTTACCCAATGTTAGGTAAGGTAAATACTGGTTCATCAAGTTACTGAGAAATTGTGGACAGAAATTTGGGACAGACTGTTGATATTAGAAACGTATCGATTAAACGTAATAATGGAAGATTCTTTAAAATTATTGATATGTTTAATATTCGTTCTTTTCGTAGATGGAAGAGAGGATCGAGGATGATACTGGAAAATTTATTTTTATTGAAACATTTAACGAAGGTTTATACAGTGTCGTAAATATTAAACGAGAGGATACTTAAAATAGTATTAGAATATTCTACATATGTAGGGAGTATAGAATATTTCGCAATTAGATATACACTTTGTTTTTTAGTCAGATTCCTAATCTTCGCATTCCCGAGAACGAATAATAGAATTGAGAATAAATTTCGTTCTACTTGAAAACAATTTTCCGTCAAACAGGATAACCAGATGATTGGGGATTAGTAAAAGTTTCCTATAAAGGAAACCTTCATTTTCTTTTCTTCGTTTGTTTTCTTATCAACTTGTGACTGGTAAAATTATACAAGATGGGCCAGTTCTTAGCATCAATCTTCAAAATCTCATTTCAAAATTCGAGTTAAGCAAAATTTAAGATGCATTTCTGAGTAATTTTCCAAATTCCAAGAACGAAGAAAACTGCGGGACAAATTTAGGATAAGTGGTTGAAAGAAATGAGAAATGGTTGGATTTATGCGTTTCCATACAGGATAATTCCGTTTGTGGCGGCGGACGCGTTGGTGAAAGACAAGACAGTCCCGTCCCCGGTTACCGGATATCCTTCCGGTTCGGTGGTAGTGCCTCCGGAGCTACGGCCCACCGACACCTCCGGATTTTACGATATCGCCACTCAGGAAAACAGATTCAGCCCGCCAGTGGAGACCGAAGGTGGGTCATATTTTAAACTCGTCCCACGGATACATTCTGCCACCCTCGTTCGCGTTTTACGTCCACCGTAAACCACGATTCTTCTCGCGGTGACACCTTCGAGGAGTAACGCTTTTACGTTTTTCTTCCCTTATTTTTTTCGTCTCTTTTTCCTGCTCAATGAGTTTTTAACAGCTGCTTGCGGTTTCATTAATGGCACCTTAGAAGCTTCTACTTTTATTCTTGCTTTACTATTTCGTAGAAGTTTTAACTTGTTTTCCCCGTTTTGCTTCGTGGTACTGGGAACATCACAGACGTGTAATATAAATTGCATGCATATTCTTTTGAATATTGAATAATGAATATTAAGAAATAAATGCCTTAATCAGTTGTTTTCTTTGAACATTTCTTATCTTTTAGGTATTCGGTACATCCTACTGATAATTAATTGAAGGCGTTACAATTTAACAAGTTGTACCGCAAGTGAATTCCCTATAGTTCTCGTTTCTGAATGTAACATTAATAGCTTCTTCCGTGTTTCTACTTTGAACTGGATTTGTTTTCCATAAGGCGGATTCGTGCCAAGGGAGCCGCCCTATTTCGACGCCCCTTACCATTCCACCGATCTGAATCTGGAAATCGGAACAGGCGTCACCGTGGTTCCGGCGCCAATCACCAATCCTCATCGTAAAAGCGATGGTAACGAACGTCTAATTTATTTCTTCGAATTCAGCTTTTTCTTATTACAACGTATTTTCCGCTCTATTAGTTGCGTCACGCGAATCCATTGAGCTCGCATCTAATTGTACCGCTATGTACATCATATTGTCATCGAACAATCTATCCACGACAGTCGTAAATTTTTATTGCTAGCTTTTTCATTGAAGTAAAAAATTGTAATTTTTCAAGTAATTTCTTGGCTGTTTCACAAGCCGAGGAACAATTCGCGTTATAGAGAGCTAGATTATAATTTTTAAATAATTTTAAGATTCAGGCGGTCGAGAAAATTTCGAAGCTGGCGAGTTCAACGAGATTCTCCGCTTTTGTTTCATAAATCTCAGCCAGCAACTGTCTCTTCGAGAATATGGAGTACCGTCACGGGGAGATTGTGCCGAGCAGCAGTATCTGCGTGATTTGCATGTGCTACTACGGCGAGGTAGTGTGCTCCACGGAAAAATGTCCACCTCTGAAGATCGGATGTAGAAGGATCAACACCGAAGAGACGTGTTGCGGAAAAATCGTCTGTGGTACGAAAAATTTTACACGACGAAAAAGTCTTTGAAAAAACCTTTGATAGAAGAATATTTCTTTAAAAATTGTTTGAATTACCTTTGCTGTTCGCCTTGTTTCAATTTTAATTTTCTAAAAAAAAGTAGATCTCACTGTGAGATGTATTTCTCCTCAACAATTAATTGGTACATTATTGATTTAACACAGAAGAAATGGAATTATATCTTGTTTAATTCTCAATCTTTTGTCTGGGGAGTAAATAGGCGAGGTTTGATATATCGTATTAATTATGATCAAGCGAATTTTTCTCAGATAAGAGAAAAATTATATTATTTTGTTATTTCTAGACTGTTTGTCCTCTCAGTTTACCTTACCTCAAACAATTATTATAAGCATTTCTTCGTTATTTATACACCCAAATTCTATAATTCTCTAGCATCCTCCTATTTCCAAAAAAATTACGTTGGAGAGTTAAAATGTTTTGCAAATACAATTTAATCAATGACAATTCTATCACGTACCGACTCTAACATTTCGATTACTTCCAGTAGAAGCAGAAGAATCACCAACGGTTGTGTTAGACCGCGCGGACGCCACTGCACCATCGCTACATCAGCCGATAATATTTCCAGACCCATTCCGCGACGTGATAAAGACAGAACCAGCTCCTGATCTGCCTTCCCTGATCGAGGACATGATTCCTTACCTGGTAGAACATGGAATCACCACTTCAAGGCCATCGACTACCAGCACTCTAAAGCCTCTGCAAGCAAACTTTGATTTCGTGGATAAATTATCTCTCCTACGTCCACCGTACAGACCAGAAGAAGATCCAACCAGACTAATCACCAAGAATAAATATAATCTGAGTCAAGATGGACATATAAAAGAAGCAATCGCTTCAAATTACAACACCAAAGAAACTGAACAAACTTTGGATCGTGTTTCCGAAACGATTCCCAAAAAGGTTGCTTCCTCAACCATGGATCATACTACCAAGAAACAAGAAGAACATGCTATTTCTTCTTTTAATACAACGAACTCTGATCTCGTGAAATTAAATACTTCGCAAATCAACGACGCTAATATCTCGTCTGAGTCGAAGCTCGGAGATTCTTTGACAAAAGTTAATAATTCTAAATTTCACTCGACTACGATCAAACCATCTTCCGGAGCTAATACAGAGCTGGATGAACCTATATTTTCTCTGGATACTGTTCTGGATCTGTTATTCTCTTCAGATACAAGTAACAATGAGAATAATAAAGATACAAAGACGACAGAGACATCGACTACTAGCAGATCGACTGCAAACGTTAGTGACCAATCAGAGGATGACAAATTGTCTTCCAAAGTGAGCGAGAAGATGGAGGATCGTGTGACAGAGACTGGAACGCCGTCTAAGGTTCTAGAGAATGAAATTCCTATGTCGGTAGCTAGCTTGCTAAAATTGGCTGGATGTAATATCTACGGAAGGATGTATCGCGTTGGAAGGATCATTACCGAGCTCTCTGGACCTTGCCTAGAGTGCAGGTGCACGGAGATCGGGGTACAGTGCAAGCAGCTCAAGTGTTGATCGAAGTTGGCCGTGCTCGGGCCAAGCTGTTTTCCTTGCAATTAGGTTCGTTCGAGTTAATAGATTCACTGCTGCCTCGATACGTTTCCAAGGGATAGTTTGAGGAAAGGTATGGAGGATCTCAGTTCGAGCTACGGAGTATGTGGCTTGCGAAGAACTGTCGATTGCTATATTGTTGGAGTAAATTTTCGAGAGTGACGGGTAAAGAGAAGGTGAACGCGAGAAGGTAGGAAGAATTTGGAATTGTCTTCCATTATCGCAAAGTTAATGCGTTAATGTTAAATTATATCGATTAAAGTATGTCAGCGTTGAATGTTTTTAGTAAAAAACGAAAAACATGTCAGTTGCTCTTAAACTAGTTGTATTTTTGACTGGATAGTTTGACTTTTGCGAAGAAGTCTAGATGAAAATTTTATTCTTTAATTATGGAGAATTATTCTTTATTTCTCGAGTGAAAGTATTTACAGTGAGCGGTGAATGTGTTAATTCCTCGAATCGGAATTATAGCTCTCTGTTTCGTTCAATGATTAGCTTGTTGTAAGGCGATGCCACGAAGGGAATTCTGAATAATTGACAAAATTTGAGGCACATTCCGAGATTCGAAGTCTCCCTCTCTCTCTCTCTCTCATTACGTATCCTTATAATAGCAATCTGTAATCCACGTTAGAAACCTCGTAACCACGACGTTACAGAGTAATTTTAACTGCAATTCCATGATGTTGCACGCTTGGAAGTTTCCTTATATGCATGTAGATGTGTCACACAATAACAGCTATTTCACAACCCATTTAGTCACTGAATTAATTTACGCATCCAATAAAATGATTTTGATATTTAAAATTCTATATTTATCGGTCACTTATTTGGACTGTCTGAATAATTTTGATTCAGTAAAGATCATAAAAAAGAAATTTATGTATAGTTTCAACCTGAGCATTCTTAATCCAAATTCTTTGATTAAACGCTCTTTGATCAAATGTAAATTGGAACCTAATCCTAATTTAAATCAAATTACAATTACAATTGGCTCTCAATTAAACTTTACGTCTATAAATCTCTGATCCAGGAACAATTTTGATTACAATTAAACCTAGATTAGAAACAAATACTCGAACCTTAATCTACTATCTAAACTGTACTTCAACCTATTCCAACCAACTGCAATCAAATTCATTAATCACCTCGGGGGCAACATTCGTCTCCTTTTCCCTAAAATTCGCTCGCTCTTCAAATCCCATCCAAAGTCAATTTCACCAAGTAATACACTTTAATTCACCCCCTAATTTAACCAACCCTTTGCGATCACTCGAAAATCGTATCTTTCAATTATATTTTCTTCGCCCACTTGGCTGGATAGGAATTTTGTCCAAATGGAAGGAGGTAGGAAACTCTTCGACTCTCGTCCATTGGCCGGCCTATGGAACGTTACTCATCTGGCAAGGATCCACAGTTTTGCGAAGATCGATCAGGATGTAATTTTGAGGGATAGCGGTTCCGTGCTCTGCAAGGATAAGTGGATAAAGACGGAAGTTGCCGCCCCAATCCCCATTTTCTCCCCGTTAACCGGGAATTAGCCTGCTACAAGGGTGGTCCGTGTTCCGTTTTGATTTATTCGTGCGATTTCGATAGACTTTGAATGAATCGGTTAAGCGGCAGAGACACAGTTTCTGAAATGGAACAAAATCTTGGCGGCTGAAATTATCGAGACGTTGGGTTTTAAGATAATTTGCTCGTGGAATTTCATTTGTCGCTTTGGTTAAAGGAATATTCCGATTTGAAGGCGTAATTTTTGCACGACATTTGGAATAAAAATTTATTAGATAATTATAGACCAAAACGCTTGATGTTTGGTATTAAGTTTATTTTGGGTTTCCGATTTGATTGACCTTATTCTTTATCTTTGTTATTATTTTCATAATCATTTTCAATGGGTTTCACGTTATTCGCGTGTTTAAAGACGTGCCTCTGATTTATACGTGTCTAGGTGATTTTGTGCCAAGAGGGTAGTAAATTATTCCTTGGATTATAATTATTTTCACAAAGATCTTCGTCGCCTTTTCATTTCGATATATTAAGATTATGCTTAATATTGTGGCAGTGATTGCGACCAATAATAATCCCATTAATAATAGCCTTTTATGCAAATGTGAGAAGGGGATTGCAGCCTATTTGACTATAATAAGAACTTGTCGTGACTGAAAAATGCTTAGGAAGCATTATTACAGGCACATTCAATATTACGCCGGAGCCCTTTCTTCGACGCTACAATTTCCATTAAAAGTTTCATGTTAGTTCCTCCTCTATGAAAGATAACTTAAAGAATTTTGATCGAACGTTACGACAAAACTGTTTAAAACGCATCAATCTTTTCAAAAAAATCATCAAACTTCGACCCTACGATTTCAACCGAATCTGTTGATAGCCTGTTATAGTAATTGATTGCAAACGATTAAGTAAAAGAAATTAGGATAAAAAGATTAAAAAAAAAAAAGATAAAACAAAACAAGCGAATCTCGGAACGATTGCCAATAATTCTATTTATTTCAAGCTACAAAGCTCTTTGTTACAATAATTCGTGGTTTTATCAGTGGCATCGCGATCACCATAGGTGCATTTAACCTGTATGTTATTTTTTTATTCACTAGACCCCCGTATACTGAGTGGACATAATTAATTATAATCTGTCGTGATTCGTACGCTGCGGTGCTATAAAACGATCGATCTACGATCGGATTTTCATCGATTTCGTCGAAAGTTCTTCCGCGTCGTTTATCGATTTAGAAACGAGTTAACTTACTGTCACGTGCTATCATTTAGATCGTAAGCTTAGTTAGTAATTAATCGAACGTAATCAATGGAGACAAGCGACGCTGTAATCGAATTAGTAGAACGATTCCTCCGTGAACCTTTCTTTCTTCGCTTTTTCCTTTCTTCCTCTTCGATCCTTTCGTTTCTTCCCTTCTTTTCAACTTTCTTTCGTCGTTTTAAGAATTGGAAGGACACCGTGCCGGAAACGGATCACGGGAAAGCGTAATCGTTTCTGTATCGCGTTAGCAAGGCCGTAAATTCGCGCCGAATGCCGCACAGAGGCTTGTACTTATATATGTATATATATATACACAAACATATATATATATATATATATATGTTTTATTGTACGATTGTCGTAATAAACATTTACGGAACTCAGCATCGTAATTTTTTCGCTAATCCTTTAAGCAGTTTTAAGGGAAAAAGTGGCATTACATTTGATGTTTTCGCAGTTAGAAATGTTCCAACTATTTGTCGATCATTCGACGCGTTCGAAAGTATTTTTTTACAGTTTCGAAGAACTAAATCGAACTGTTTCGCGTAATGTTCTTGTAATTTAGATTACGATACGTAATTTACATATTAATTAGTCACTATATAGTTCATACGTGGTTCATTAACGTGTCCGCTATTTATTATTTTAACGTTATTTATTATTTAATTGATTTTGATAGTCGTAGGTTTGATTTGGTAGAAGAAGCAAATCGATATGTCCTAGAGTGTCTGTTGGAATCATCAAAATTTTGCTGCTTTCTTCGTCAATTCGACGGAGAAGTATAATAGCAAGAATTTACGTAAAAATTCTCTTACCTTCCGGTCGAATCACGTTCGATCTTCTCCTAATCGTTCGACCATCGTCACGAAACATCGATCGTTCCAGCTATCAATCATTTATAACAGGAAATTATCCGCAAAATTGGACTAAATCGGGCCGTAGCGTGTGTTTGTTGAAGGTAAAAGGCAACAGGATTACGGGAACCGTGGAACGATTTCGACTTTATTGCAGGCAATCGATTGTTTCGATACACAGTGGAGAGGTGACAACCCTCCGTTAAATATGCCCGTGATCAAATCACAGCGTATATAATCGTATTTATATTTATATCCAATTAGTCGGTTGTATTTACAGATATATTCGTATTATCATTACTATTATTATTATTATAATTATTAATCGTGTCGACGTAGGTTTCGTAACACTAACATAATCACAGCCAGTTCGCCTCGTGTGTGTCTGTATACCTGTCTGTATATCTGTAAGTGTATAATAATATCGATAAACAAATACATAGGTACAGTGATCGACTAAATTGCCGGAGAGAACACATCTTCTTCCATTCGGATTGCCCACAAATAATCGTCATTGAAAATTACGGTGAAAAGCGGTTGACTTTACAAATATCCTTAAGATCTTTCCGCTTCTTGATTCGACGTTCTTTCATCTCCTTAAAAGATTATTTTCCCGAATAATATTATTTGAATAATGAAAGAACAAAAATATCTTGGACGTAAATCTTATTGTCTAATGGAGCAGCCACTTCTTCTCTTATCTTTAGTAATACGTGGGAATAAAATCAATGGATAGGGATAAATTGTTAGTCGATGAAAATATTTGAAAAATTTGTTTCACGAATTTTGTATTATCGATTGCACGTTTCATCGAGGCGTAAATACGAAAAGACGAATTTTAGAAAATTTGTGGGTAATCTGAACACGATTCGGCGCGCTACTTTACTATCGAGTAAGTACTACGTACAGTTATAAATGTATTGTTTTCCGGTTTTGGCAGCATCGTTAATGCATCGTCGCGGCTTAACCAAAGGAAACGCGATTAAACTATAAATCAGGCTCTCGAATGAGAATATTCCTTTCATTTGCTCGAAAAGCTTGAATTCCTTTTTATCGTTCGTATCCAGCCGGTTTTCAAGATCTTCGATTTACTTTTCCGCCGTTTAAAATTCTCAACGAGCTTCTAACAAAATTAATTAGACGTTTTATCGGAGATTTTCCACTTAAATTCACCAACTTTTAGTTTCTTTTCGTTAGAGACGCGGAAATTCTTTTCTCGTCTCGGCTCTTTTTGCTTCGAATCGGTTGAAAATCGGAATTCTTGAAAATCTACGATACGTTTTCTGGATTTGATGAAAAGAATCCAAGGAAGAGCATTTTAACAGCGCTTCTTATCCCCTAACAGCCTTCAAAGATCTGATCCTTTCATCCCTTTTCTCTGTCCGTGTTCTATTGCACAAGAATCGGTCGACGGGCAATTTGTTGCCTGAAAGTTCAACTACGAGTCGTTTTCTTAGTCCGTCGATTATTTTTAGTAAAATAGTCTGTGATAATAATTACTTTCCCTTCCCATTTTTCTTCTATCACACGCATACTTCGATTAATTAGCCAATTCCTCGAACGAATTTTCCATTACTGATCACAGTAATTATCCTCTTCCATTGCACAATTCCTTTGCCAAAAATTCCATTGTCAAACGTAACAATTATATTCTTACAGATAACACTAATTAAATTCCTTCGACCCTCTATAACACTGTAAAATTGAGACTCAAAAATTGTTTATTCGTATATCCACACTCTCTAAATCTTACTCTATTTCCTTAAGCCATCAAACGATCATCTTAGAAAACGACTGTTAAACAATTTATTAGTAATAATTCTTAGCCTTCGATTATTACGTTAAAACAAAAATTCAACGATTAACTAGAATCTTTTTTATCATATACGAAAACTAAAAAAAAAAAAAAAACAAAACAAGCGATGGTTATAGAGGGTTAATTAACCGATAAAAGTGCAATCACTCTCATTTAACCCCTTACGTTTAACGATCCCTTACGATCTTAATAATTCGAATTATAATAACTTAATAAATCGTGCTTTTTTCCACCAAAAATTGTCTCAGATTAACATAATCGTCCATACCAGCGCAACATCTTAACAACACCTATCGATAAAAAATAAGTTCACAATTTTCACAATCTGCAGGTTTGAAACCAAAATGAAAATCTCAACTATCCATTGTTTCGAACATTACGAAACCTTCTCTTGTTGAATCAAATCTGTAATTTTCGCATAGTTTATGTCTTGACGTCGCAAGACAAGAGGTCAAATTGCCGTGGAATTTTCATAGAAGCGAGAATCGCGGAAAAACACTTTCCGCGTAGAGTTAAAGATTACGGCGTCGTAAATGTAAAAGCGCACGGGACAACGGAGATTTTTAATTTCTCTGCTCTGGACGTGGAAAAAGAAAGGATGCGCGATAAGAGCGCGGGGCAAGGAGAAGCAACTAAGAGCCGCGTTCGAAATTCTGCCCACGTTCGCATTCGCGTACGCGTGAACACCCCACGCGTCGTTTCCGCGTTTCTCGGAATTTTCTGCACGCGTTTACCTCCATTAAATTCTCCTATTCCGTCGTCTCTTCTATTCTCTCATCGCATACTCGCGAATGATATACTCTCACCGATCGATTCAGTGGGATAGGATTACTCGAATGATTTCTGGCTGCAAGTTGCCGGGGATAGGCTGAGTAGCAACCCCTTTGCGCTCTCTCCACCTTTGCGACAACGTCTCTCATTTGGATGTGTGACATGACTCAAGTTGCCGATCGCGATACGAAGATTCGTTTTCGAAACGTTAATTTTGATTACGAATTCTCGAAGTTGTAGGGTTTGACGACTTCTAGATGGGAATTTTCAAAAGATAGTTTGTTCTGGTTATCAGCAAATTAAACTTGAGTGTTAACGTTGGCGCGATATTTCATTTGGAATATTTTTTTTTGGGGGAGGGGGGGGTAAAGTTGCATTATAAAATTTGTATTCTCTTAATATCGCGATTACGAAAAAAAAAAAAAAATTGCAGCAATTTAGCTGAAATTCGCCAATTGTATAAAGTTTATGGAAATGGAAACGTCCTTAAGAATACCATAAGCTGAATACTCCTTGGTCCTTTGGTGGATATTTAGGTAAACTCGTAGTTTTATGAACACGACCGAAGAAGCAGAATTCCAGGGTTCTTAATTTAAATATTAATTTAAATTAATCATTGAAGAGATTTGCTTCATCTTTTAATATATTGCACCACGGAGGAGTGAATAAATATATCCGTGTGGCGAAGATCACCGGTATGGGCAGTGTATCAATAAAATTGTCCATTACGAAAAGAAATTGCAGCGATTCAGCTGAAATTCGCCGATTGTATAAAGTTTATGGAAATGAAAACGTCCTTAAGAATACCATAAGCTGAATACTCCTTGGTCCTTTGGTGGATATTTAGGTAAACTCGTAGTTTTATGAACACGACCGAAGAAGCAGAATTCCAGGGTTCTTAATTTAAATCTTAATTTAAATTAATCATTGAAGAGATTTGCTTCATCTTTTAATATATTGGACCACGGAGGAGTGAATAAATATATCCGTGTGGCGAAGATCACCGGTATGGGCAGTGTATCAATAAAATTGTTTCTTTTAAACAATGCAACGAGCAGGATGGCTTAAAGTTTTGGATAGAGAAGAAAAATCAGTCAATTTCTATCGAGTATTATAGATGAAGAATCGCAGAGGACGAGGAAGAAGAAGACACGAGTGATTTATTATTGAGGGAAAATTGTGGTCAGTTGGGAAACTGTATTGCGGTGGTCCTTGTACACTCGCCATCAGAGAAATTCGTGGCAACAGGGCAATTCTCTGAAATTCGTCGTCTAAGCATCCTGTTCATGCAAATGCGTCCTGTGAATCGTCAGAGGAGCGCGCGGTGTGTCACCTCCGTCGTACCGTCCTCGTGTCTAAGGCACGAGCCTCCTGGGAAACCTTACTAATGAGTCCATTAGTAGCTCCAGAACGAAATGCCAACTCCTCCTGTCTTTTCATTCATCTCTTTCTCTCTTCTTTATAGTATCGTATTATATAAAAATCAATATTAACTCTACGATAGACTTACTATCTCTATTATTTATAGTAAACCATAGAAATATTAAAGATCGAGAAATCTTCCATTATGGAGGAAATGTCTTGCGTATGTCTGTGTTATAGGGGGACGGAACACTGGCAGTGTTTGCAAATTTGGAAGTTTAGAAAGTTAATTTTGATCCCGTTTTGGGAAACTTGGGCCATGTCTTTGAGCATATTTTAGAAGAACTTTCTCGGATTTAAGCTCGTGAATATCATGTGGCAAATACAAAGTGGCAATTTATTTATGGATTTACGTAGAAGACTATATGCTAATTGTTGAATCGAGAATACATTTGCTTTCTGAGACAGACGAGCAACATTTTAACGTAGCGATTGTCAAATGAAAGAATCGGAGCGCAAAGGGGGTAAATCGAATGCGCACGAGAAGTACTTGAAAAAGCGCGAGAAGTAAATCTGATCTAGCAACTACGACAGATGAAAATACATAATGGAAATCGAAGATGAAAATATATGAAAACAAAGTCTAAGGAAAGTTCAAGAAATCGGAAGAATATTGGGAGAATACTTTGGACGATTAAAATTGCGTTTCAATTAAAATTCACACGTATAAATCTACGATATAATACTCAGAAACTCAAAAGCAAAGAAAACCATAGATAGATAAGAGGAAATAAATTTTTGAATATAAAACGATTTGAACGCGAAAAATTATAGTAGATCGAGACATATAACTTTCGAATGGTAGTCGTGCGATTTTTCAGAAGAAAATCAGGTCGTTCCGCGACGCGTCATCTTTGACGACAACGACGTCCTCGACTCGACGACCATCCACCTTAACGGGAAAACGCATCGTTGGGACGACGAATCGAGGGATCGTGAAATGCATTTCTCGAGTCGTGCAATTTTCTCTCCCGGTTTCATCCACGGTATCGGTTGGGAAAAAAGAGTGATAAGAGAAATTCGTCGTTCGCAGCCGCTTTTTAAATAACGAATACCCAACTTATCGTTACTTTAATCGGTATTTTATAGCGAAGAATTATCTTAGAACATCCTTATCAACTATTTATCCCTATTTATTCCTGGATACGCACAAAAATCAACGAACGTCAATTTTCAAATCGCCAAGATAATAAAATTGTCGAATTAAAGATATTTCTAATTAACAAAGGAATTTCGAATAGTAGGTGTTCAAGTATGGAGGACAATTATTACAATCGTGAAAGTGTTGCTTTTTTATAGCAAATTTGCGAGAGTAAAATGCATAATTTATGGAGGAAAATTGTCTTTACAGGAAACTCTGTTTTCATCTTAAAGCTTTAGGATTTAAAGATTCTTCGATAATGAAAAAAAGAGAAAATAGGGAAAAAGCTTGGAAATTACAGCATGCAATTTGTACAACAGGTATTTCTTGATTGAAAAATTATCCGATGTGTCCGTAAATGAAGTGAACTTGAAAAACGACTTTTTTTGGAAAAGTACACGCAGCATAATGTCTCTCTTGTTCATCGATTTTCGCGCTACCAGAAACAACGGTCTACCAATACGTTACCAATCAACGGATTTCAGGCTTACTACTAGTCAATTGTACAGTCGTCGCCTCGGCAACTATCTGCCGATCGACATCATTCGTTACAGTTCTCGTGCCATTGTTCTGAACGCTTCGATTCAACAAAATCATCTTATCCACCTATTAAACGCTCTTCTTTCTCTCTCACCTCCGAACTTTCACAAATCAGTCTTTCACTCACCGTTTCGTCGAACGAGAACACAAAACAAGATTCATACCTTTGATTCTCCACTCGATTGTACAGTTTCTCTTTACATCAAGTACAGTCTAAAGTTCTACAGCGATCTCTAAGAAGTCCAACTTCTTTAATCTTTTTGACTTTTGCTTCTATCGTTTCTTTTGCCTAAGAAAGACGAACGTTTCACGTTTTCTTCGTCCGCTAAATGTACAGCAAAAGTGCGAAAAGCTATGCTTTTAACTTTTCCTTTATTCTACCAGGGGCTAAGGTCGAACGTTCGTATCAGTTTATCTTTGAATAGTCTGCTTTCTTCGACCTTTGCTTTTAATCTTTTTTTCATCCATCGAGAACTAAAAAGAAAATTGAAATTATATACGAAATTTATTTTCCAATAGTCTATTTTCTTCAGCTTTCGTCCAATCTTTTCTGCATAGCCACTGAGTAACCAGCAAAGAGTATTTTATTATTATCGATCACACTCATTATCGAACACTGTCTAACTTCCGATTTCAATCTGTTCTTCATCCACCTAGGAACTGAAGTAAATTGAAACTATATCACCAAGTTTTAACTCTCGACGATCTATTCCCTTCAATTTCTCCTTTCAATTTATTCCTCCTTCGTTGAAAGTTAAGGTCTAAAGTTGAACAACCAAATCCATCTTTTCACATGGCACGCATTATCGAAGAACCAAATCAGTAGTTTCCTTGATCTCTACTTTCAACATTCTGCTATTTATCAAACACATGGTCAAACTTACTGATCCCATCATTATACGGTGCAACTCTTTCAATTTCTTCTTTCTATCTTTTCTCCGTTCGTCGAGGGTGCAATTAAAAGTTCTACGTTCACCGTTAAACAATCCCAGTCCCATCAATTCCTTCTCCCCGTTTCTTTTCAATCCTCGTACAATCGAGAGTTCTACATCCATCTCCAAATAGAATTCTACGCCTCTTCCAGAAACCAGCTCCTCCGCTTTCATCCAAACAAACATCAAAAAGCGTCAAGTCGAAGTTTCCTATTCATCTTGGCGTCTTAACATTGATGAGTGCAATAAAGAATCGCGATATAAGCGATTTATACGACGCGTCCATTCTTCGTCGAAACGACGTCGATTCGTCAGCCGTTGGAACAAACGTTGGCCACGAGCAACGACCTCTCGTAATCCCACGATTAGAGACAGCTTGGCCAACGTAAATTTCCAGAATATCTTTCTGCTCCTTCCCGCTAGCCGAATACATCAGGCAGAAATTGAAGAACGGCTAGACCTTGCAGAGAAGTATACTAAACGCAGACAGGATGCTATAGTTCTTTCGAAAAGGAGACCCTTGATCATTCCTGTCGATACAGTCGAAGAAACTTGAATCGAGCCAGCTGGAATTTCAGGCAATTTTCTTCCTTCTTTCTCTCCCTAAGATTGGTTTAGATTGCTCTCGCTTTTTATATTTATTTATTTGTTTATTTATTTTTTTTTTTTGGTTGATCGATTGATCTTGCTTTTTCTTTATTTTTATTTTTTATCTATTTTAGGCGATTCATTCGGTGAGTGGTTCTCTTCTGGCAGTTTCGGTAAAGGTAAATATTATTTCGATAGAAATCGCTGGACCGTTTACTCGGTTTTAATTCCTCAGCGATTTTCGTTGCCTTAAATATTTAAATATTTGTTGCGGAAAGTCTTTCTCCTTTTGTAATTAAACGCACGCTTTTCTCGGCTTGATAAACTCTAAGTCTAGCCAAGTTCTTAATAAGATTAACGTACATGTATCTTTGTCCCTCTTCTGCTTTCTTCTTCCTTCGATAGATACATTTCCTTCCATCTTCAATTTTCTTCTTCTCAATTTTATATCCGACAATCGCTGCAAATAAGAAGCCTTCTACTCCTTCAACTTAATTATTCACTCAACTGAACAGTTCGAAGCATCTCTTCTTCCATGCGTATCGCAACAACGACTTGCAAATAGTCTTCAATCGTAATACCTCCCACGAGCTTCTTACTCTTCTCTCCATTTAATTGTTTACCCATTTGCACGGTTTACAAAATTTGTTATTCCACGCGTATCGCAACAACAGTCTGCGAGCAGCTGCTCCAATCGATTTACGTCCACGTTGTACATCCACCACTTGCCCTTTAACAGAGCACGATGCTTTTCTGTTCCGTTTCATTGATATCCAACGTCTTATTTTTCCTTCCATCTAATTGTTCACCCATTTGCGCAGTTCGAACAACAATTTTTCTTCCACGCGTATCGCAATAACAATCTACAAATTCTCACCTCATCGTAATACATTCGCCGACATATTTTTTCAACGATGCTTCTCAGTTCCATTTACAATTCCGTATTACTTTTGCTTGCAAATTCAAGAAATTTTTAGTTTCCAAAGTTCTTCGTCTTTAACGTTATCTTCCAATTCTGTTCCTTTTTCTTCCTTCTTTTTTTTCTTTTTTCTTTTCTCATAATTTCACGCGATCCCAACTTCGACGACGATCATTTCTTTCCCTGGGTCCGAGCAACGTCGTAAAAATTTTCCCATTGCCAGCGAGTTGCGCGATTTCCTACTCGAAAACGCTCTCGGCGGCCTCTCTGATCTTGACGATGAGGAAGGACCGTCTGCAGAGCTTGACGAGCAGCTCGATCCTCTGTCAGGAGGGCTTCCTCAGCTGTGGCAACGCGATCACGTAGATGTTGCCTAAAATGGCGCCAACCACGAGCAGCATCACGCTGATCGCGCTTAGAAGTCGCACGAACCTCACGAATCTTCGTCCTCTAGCGTCTTTCTTGCTTTGATTCGGGAACACTGCCAGGCCTAGGAGTGGCCCTGCCAGGGCGCCAGCCACGTGAGCTGCCCAACCGACTCTACCGCAACCGAGCAGTGCTGGAATTGGAAGTGACGCGACGTCTGCGCTTGCTAAGAGTAACACGGCACCTAGACGCCAGCCGGCGTAGCGGAGTTCTCCGTGACACTGGAAATTAAAGACAGAGAAGAGTCATGAGTCAATGTTCGACGAGTGGTTGGTAGATAAAAGTTGTTCGTGTTTGATCGCGTTAAGGGAAATTGGATCGAATCAGTATTAATTCGAGAAGATGTCGCAAGGTTTCGTTTTTAAGGAAATCTTGATGGCATTAAAACTAAAAACGCAGCAGCAGTAGACGCGGCGTAACGAAGTTGCAGAAAGTTGGATCATGGTGTATTTACAACAAGATTACGAACTTCTGGGCAACTAAGGTGATTGTAAACGACATGGAACATCTTCTTTTAATTATTTGGCAAGTATGTCGGTGACGTTACAAATAATAAAAGACGAACGAAACTAGACGGTTGTGTTAGAGTTCGTTGTAGAAGATTGTAGTAGAATGTGGCAAGTTCGAGCAAATTAAAATTGTACGAAGCAAGTTGAACAATCGTTACCTAGTCGTCTACAAGCAGAGTTTTCTTCTATGTGTGTAAGTGTAGATTTAAAACTTTCGATTTGAAACGTTACTTCAATAAGGTACAATAAGGATGCAAAGAAAGATAAAAAGGAATCGACAACTTCTGCATAGATAAATTTTATTTTATACGTATACGTATGTCAATAATAGCAGAATAATATAATTTGTAACTAACCAGGTAGAGATGCGCCAGATGACTGGTAAGTAAAGCATAGACACCCGCAGAAGCGCCGACCAAGAAGAGGCTCGGTTGGAGAAGAGATGCTCCAAGGGCTCCGCAAACACCACCTCCTAAGTAGATCGTTGCCACCCCTATTCGACCCTGTTCCACCTACGACCACCGATATCGTCTTTCGTTCGTTCGACATATTTTCTATGCCCTTAGAAAACATTCTTTCTAATACGAAATTCTCTCTTCGTTCGTCGAATATTAATCGATTAACTAAAAAATGTAGACAATGACAAAATGCGAGAGAAAAAGAATTAAAAAGGATGATAAATCTCGTTCAATTAGCCAGTGTAAAATTTTCCATCCATTTAATATTAGAACTATCAGAGTGTTTCGAATAACTCATTCATCACTTCCCATAGAAATTTTATATATATTTGACCGATCAATAAATAAGCAATCCGTTATTTTCCGTAAAAATTTTACAAATTTACCAACGCCGAAATGACCAATCTGTAATGATTCGACTCGTACAAATTTTCTAGATTTACGACGGCAAATATCGCGAATTTTCCGTGACTTTTTTGCGAAATCTACGGATAAACGATAGCTCGTTAGGAGAAAATATTTCGCGAAAAATAACGGAAGACCGAGGAAGATATCGTAGGTTATAAATAAAGATCGCGTATGTTTTACATTTTAAACAGAACCAGTATAATTCTTAATCGAAACAACGTTCGTCTATCTACATCGAAGAACCATTAATTCAAACGTTGTTTAAATGCCAATATCGCGAATGACTAAACAAAAATACCGATAGCCTGTGTACACTCGTCCATACATTACGCTTTAATTTCTCTGACGTAAGTTTTATCCCTCGATAGTTCTAACGTTAAATTCCACCTGCCGTTCTTTCCATGCCTTTGTGTTCTTTCGATAATGACTTTTTACTCGATACGCAGCCCCTTTGAACGCGATCGATCGGTTCACCCAAAGATACACTTTGCCGAGCATTGCGAATGAGAAAAGAGAAAGAGAGTAGCCAACGAACGAGGCTGGCTGGTCGACAATTAGTTTGATTAACTCACCTCGAGCGGAGTGGCGAGCACCAGTTGGATGACTACGTTCAACGCAAGGTGAAGCGCGTTCGAGTGCAGCAGCATGTACGAGACGAACCTCCAGCCCTGCACCCTCTGACGTGGATCGTAGACCAACCACCTGCGCAACGTCGCCTCGTCTCCCAGGCAGTGAACGGCTATCTGTCGTCATCCAGAATGCATTTTAATCGTCGATGTCATGCTATTTAGCGTACAGGATGCGTGATAACGTGTAGCGTTACGTGTTTGCAAGGCTAAGTTCTAGTATACAGCGTTTGAAAGTTGAGACTGATATTTGAATTTTCTAGTGAGATGTGTTTTAAGGCTGGACTTTGACAAAGGATACAGCGATTTTATAAAAATCATATTTGAATAGTATCGTATGGTATCGACACTGTGTAGAATTTGTACGATCCGTACGATACGATGGAAAGCGTTTTAAGGATGAGTTTCGTTTGTCGTAAGAAATATAGAAAGTTTGAGATTGAATTTCAATTGTTTTGTATCGTTGTGGTTGTAATTTGTTGGACTCGGTGAAACGTTGGTTCTAAGGATTTGGCAAGGAATATCAGTTGGACGTTGCACGATGTTATAAGAAACGAAGGTTTTCAGAAAATCTTAATTCCAATTAAACTCACGGCGCTACGCTACGCCAGCCATTTTCACGACAATGAACGAATTATACGGCTGGTTTCGCGATAACACAGCGTCTTTTCTCGCAGCTAAGCGCACCGTGCACGACGTCAATTATCATTCATAATAACGCTAGGAATATTCGGATCGCTCATTATTTAAAGGCTGACAACGACGCGACGGCAGTTTATTCGGCATTAAACAAGCAGTTTTGATTAATTACCATTTTGCCTGGTCGAATTTCCATACGCCAATGGAATTAATTATTCGTTAGGTTGTTCATCGATAATGCGCGTTCGAGTTTTTGCTCCTTTGGTTCAGTCGATGAACCGAATAGAGTTTGCCACGTGGAAATTTCAATATTCTTGCTTTTTCTAATAATATCAACAATCGTAGGTAATTACGACAGTAAAACTATATCGAAAATATCTTTGCTAAGCTAAGGATGAATCTTATTTTGATCACGGATATTTTTCAACGTAGTTTGAACATCATCCAATAAAGATTAAAAACGATTCTCAAATTTTCAAATTCCTGCACCTCCGAATATCTTCGAGTCTCCAAATATTGAGATATTCAAATTTCCAAATCCTGTAATTTGCAATTTTCTAATTTCCAACTCTTCGAATCTTTCGTCTTACGTTATTTACATTAAACAACGTGCCGCGACTGAAAGGCACACAGTGGTCGTAAAAGCTGGGACGTAAAGATAAAAGGGAAAAGGGGGGCACGAAAGCGGCGTGTATCCGCATCGCCGGATGATTTACGCGGGGGAAACCTTGTGTCGCGATCCGGGGCGTGAACGCGTCAGGTCAAACGTAAGAAGAAACGTTCCTCCGCGGAAAAGAGCGAAAAGATCGTAGCGAACAGGGGCGAGAGGAGTGGAGAAAGAGATACGAGATTTTGTACGATTTGTGGTCCAACGAGCTGCCGGCGTGTCGTAAGTCTGAGCTAAACTGTCGAGTAAATATGCGCTATGAAAATTGCCACGGAAACTTTGATACATGGGCATGTGCGCTTGAATTTCCAGTTTCGCGGATGGACGATAAGAAAAGCTAGAAGTTTCTGAATAATGAGAAGGAGGAGCACGTTTTACGATAAGTTTCCAGGGCGGACAGTCTCGTTCGGAGCCTGAGAGACGTATTACGCGTGTTTGAACGTGATTAAGTGGACGTTTGTTGTCATTTCTTCGATTGAAATGGAATCTTATGATTGAAGGGTTCGTAATAACATCGAATTACGCGGGAATTCCTAATAAAAGATTTATAGACTGGAATATGAATGACGAACTTTAAAAGAATATCGGTACACAGTGTCTGTCAGGAATTTCGCGGATATAAATGGACGAGCACGAACGCCAATAAACAGCTTTTCCAATTATTTCGGCGATCGTAGAACAGCTGGGACTAGTCTGTTCGAACGAAATTATTCATAAAACGAATTTCCTCGCCATTTATCGGGATGGTCAACGAATAAATTTCCACGGAACACGAAGCACGTCAAAACATCCACGAGAACATCAATCCTTTTTTTTCTATTTTTTTTCCTCTCTTTTTTTTTCCTGCCGAAACTGGATGGTTGTCGGAGGCATATAGTTGTCAGGCTAGAAACACCCTGTCGTCATCGGACGATTTCTCTCGATTCGACCGGGTTCTGATTATACAGCGAGTTTCGCGAGGTTTTCAGGACCATCGGATCGCTCGAAGTAATAAATCTGAAAATTCCTGGGTACAGCAAGCATCGAGATGGATTTGATTAAAAATTATCGGATATTACAGCCGAACAATTACGAATAAAGAAGATTCTGTTTCATGGAACCCATGGTTCTTGATAAAAGGGAAATAACGAAAGGCAAATGCGTTCTAGAAGATCTATGCGTTTTAATAGTTGCAATTTAAGGTAAAGTTGGTACTGACGAATGGAAATAGTGATATGAGAGAATGTAACGATTAAGGAAAAAAGTATATCAAAACGTATTTCTGATATTTAGAGTTTGCTAAAATTCCACAGATTTTAGAGAGAAAAAAAAACAAAACAAATATACAATAGTCAGAAATAGCAAAATTGATACTTGAAAACGATAACGATAGAAAATGAAAATTGCTCTAATATTTTAAAAGTCATGTTATCGACGTTTGAAGCTCGCTAAAATTATAAATCAATTATATGATATGAATTTGACATTTTATTACTAACAATATCATGAATTTTATCTATGAAAAACGATAAATATAAAATAAATAGAAATAATTAGAAACAGATAAAAATAAGAAAAATAGTTCACCGTATATTCTCGATATTTCAAGTGACCTAAATATTAAAACAATGAATAGATCGATATTGTCTCACGTTGTTACCCTATATCATAGATACAAAATGATCTCCCAGGAGATCCGTGAATCGAGTTTAACGCACAATCGATCGAAACTATTGTACTACTGTAACGACAGACAATCCAATAGGAATCTCGTACTTTCAATCTTTCATTTCTGTTTGAAATTTCTATCGTGAAATTTTATATCCGACGAGAGACTCGATCTGAAGAAAAAAATGCGCCTGTAGGATGTATGGTCAGTGTTGCCGAGATATAACATCGCTCGAGAGAACGATAAAGTTCATGGATTGGTCGTGTACCAGTTTCGTTTTGGTTTCTTCCATTAAATAAATCATAAACTGTCGGCCGCCTACGGAAACAAATGTATACGAGTATTTTTCGCTTCTCTGCTTAACTATAAAACTTTACGCTTCAATTTATTTGAAAAAAGAAGAGAAAAAAGAAAGAAAAAGTACATTTATTAGCGAGCGATATTCGATAAAACGTGAATACGAATACAAATAACGCATCCAATATTTTTACTGTAACAAATAAAGTAGAAAACTACGAGGTTCTATAATCGTGACAAAAACTTTCAAACGTTCTCCAATCTTTTTAATACTATTTATCGTTATCAATTGAAATTATTGAGATACGTATAACGTTATGTGCTAGACTAGATTAGCTGCGTAGTAGTGTATACATGTATGTGAATATCAGTGTGTGAAAGTATGCGTGTGCGCGGCGTCTGGAAAACAAAGGAACGTAAACTGTTGAGTTAACAGTCTGGTATGGAAGAAAATGCCGAGACGCGTGCAAATGTGTATCGATGAATATCTTTGAAATCGTTTATCAAATAAATATATAACTATTCTGATATAAATTCTAAGTATAAATTTAGTGTTTCTATACCATTATTTCGGCCATTAAGATCCAAAATTCTCAACAGAAACATGCGATAGTTCAAACATTCGAAAGTCCTTTCCACGCACTAATCCTTCGGTTTTCTATCTGCATCGGAAATTCATCAATTTGTCGTCGTTTCTACAACAGACACGAGCAGTTACGATTGAAAAATTGGTATCCAGCGATTAACGGCGATTGTGCTGGCGTTAGGAGACTTCCACCCTTCGATGGGAAGTTTCTAGTGATTTATCAGAACTCTCTAACGAGCTATATTTACAGGTACACGTTTTTACTTCTGATTTATAGCGTTCGTTATCCTACATCCTCTCCTGGTGGCGTTATTACACGCGAAGAACGCGAAGCGAACAGTCGCGTCGGTGGCACGATTATTACCGAAACGGAAGTTGACTTTTCGCCGAGCGTTTCAACCAGGATATCACCGTTTCCGCTATCTCAGCGTTTTCATTAAAGGTTCACACGGCTGGAAAACGTTATCGTTCGTTTCATCGCGCGAAACTGGACCTGCACGCCGATTAGATTCCTCCCTGTTTCGACGAATCAGCCACCGCGCCAACTCTGATTTTACCAGAGAGGGCTGTTCTCTGCGGGTCGAGCACAGCTCGTCGAATATCCCTTTATTGCTTGAGGAACAGGAATTTTACGCGGTTTTGGATTATTCGCCTTTTCCTGGAACCTGTTTCGTACGAGAGAGAAAGAGAGAGAGAGAGAGGAATTGGTTCCGTGGCAAAGTATATGCAGAAATCGATCGATCGAGTGGAATTTTCTGGTCAATTGCCACAAAAGTAACTGTAGAATAGCGTGTTTTTTTTTTGTAACTTTGAGTAGCTGAAAATACGTTGTATCTTGATTTAGTATAAAATGATAGTAATATGTAGATCATTTATATTTACAGCTCGAATCTAACGAACGTACTTGTTGAATTGCGGCAAAGTGGAAATTTGCTTCTTTCTACCTGCGGGATAATTGACAATATCGTACATTTTGATAGGATGAAAAATGAGGGGAAAATGTAATTTATTCGTTATTATTATTGCCTTTGGTGAATGCAGGCAGGTGTAAAAGCTCTGAATGAGGTGGCGTCCAACTCGATCGTCAATTTTCAACAAGTTACGTAATAAACATTGCCTTTGTACGCAATTGTGCATCGTTTGTAAAATAAATATTAAATATTAATGTCTCTTGCGCGAGCGAACGTGAAAGTCGTTACAAGAAATGTAATTATTAAACATACTACGTACTTTGGATCGTGAAAAGCATTTCCTAACTTAAATGGAACTGTACAAATTTTCGCTCTTATTCAAGATTAATCTTGTATCTTTTGTCACGAAGTTGACTAACTTGGACCAACCGTTATGACTTTAAATATTCCCATAATACTTTCCGCTTATCCTTTTTACAACCAAGAAATATCTCTTATCATTCTCTTGGATATCGACTTAAAAAAACCCATTAGCCACTGTTTACGTCTACTATCAATATCGAATTATCAAACTTCACAACTGAGACTAATGATGTGAAGGAACAAGCAGAGATCTATCTTGAGAGTCTTAAAAGATCAAATTTATTAAGACAGTAGCTGTGATACCCGTTCGAGAACATTGTTTAAAACGAAGAACCAAAAGAAGATGAAAAGACGTTGCTCATTCTAATTTCCAAATTTTCAAATTAGCAATCGCCCGAATCAACAGAATTTTTCTCCTCTAACGATTTTGGAAACTTTAAAAAACACTAAATTCAGGGGATTTTCGGTATCTATTCGAGAACGTTCCCTAAAAGAAAACAGAAAATCGTCCGTTCTAAAATTTCCTGAACGTGTAAATTAATTCGCTTCCTTGAGACAGGTGTGAAAACTTTGAACGATGAAATTCAGGACGCTCGCAATATCCATTGCAGAACATCCCGCAAGATAATCGTTCTGTCGCTGTTATCTGCTCGATTATCGCGTGGAAATCGGACCTCCGCATCGCGGGCCGCCATTCTTTTCAACCGCCGATCTCGCGCCGTTTCATTAACTCCGTCGACAGCGTTAACTTCTGTTTTATTGCGTGAAACTGAGCGAGGAAAGAAAGGTGCATTTAACTTGGTGGCTTTAACTCGGCGCATTTTATCCGCCACGTTCGCTGCTCGTACCGGCGAGCTTCCGGAAGTGCTCGAATAAGCTCACTGGAATTATTATCGAGCCAGAGAGAAGAATCCGACGGAGGAACGCGAAAGCACGAAAAAAGAAAGATATAGAACAGACTGAGGAACGTCTCGACTCCATTTTTTCCCCTCTTTCTTCTTCGTCTTCGTTCCTCTTCCCTTCTTTTATTTTTTCCTCTCCGTTCAAGTCGAGCTAGAGTTTCTTGAAATACCAGTACGATATTCCTTCGTGAACTCGTGCGAATAATTGAGAGAGATTCCCATCGTCTCGTCCTTGTCGCAGAACAGCCTCAACGACGCATTAACCCGGCTAATGGGAAATTTTTCGAGCTCGGACGAATCGTGCGATGCATTCACGTTTTTCGGTGAGCATCCGGTTTGCCGGATTCGACGTCACGCGGAATAATATCGACACGGAGGACTCTTTATTTTTGCTAGAGATCGAAAGCTTCCTTTTGTAATTGTCGATAGAGGCGCGACCTCTTTTCGCCGATTTCTCGCTTCTGTAGAATTGTTTGCTGTCGAGGGTGGGAAAACGGGAACGAAAATTTCACGGTACAGCGACTATCATTCTAACACATGCGAAAGTTGCAGATATTTCGTCAGCAAGCGACGTAACGTAGAACACGAGAAGAACGCTGGATATTTAAAACTGATGGAGTGAAAGTAAGTGGAACTTAAAAACCGCTCTTCCGCAAAATAATATCGCCGAACGTACACTTAGACTCTCGTTCGAGGCTTCCATTTGGTTGGATTAAAACAATCTTTATCTTGTAATTAATTTTCACCTCCATTTGTAAATTGCACTGCACTCAAACGGTTCACCAACAATCCCAAAAACCATTAATCAGTGCTCAATTATGAATCACGGCGAAGTCTCGCAAACCATTCAAGAACACGTCTATTTCCAAATCAAATTACCGAAATCGTGAGTTCCACTCGAACTTCGCCATTCATTCGCAAACATCCCTGCTCTAGCTCGAAATCATTCTAACAAACGTCCCATAGTTACGCTCACGGACGCACATATTTCAAAATTCTAATCTATTAACAGATTGCGAATAGTCGCGCGATCACATTTATATCGGTGTACAAATGTAAATACGAAGAAGCGTTCGCACAAATGCAGAAATACATGAAACACGAGAAACAAGCTACCCAAACTATTCTAAACTTAATTTCAAACATAAATTTTTCATTTAAATTTATTTAACTTTCGAACGTTTAGGGTAGAACACATTTTTTTTCTTTTTTTTTTAGGTAGTTTTAATTCTTTATCCGTGCCTTTAAAAATATGAATTCGCATAAATATTCCACACAGTCTATTTAGGATGAAATTATCGATCGATAGATAAAGTTTCTGAAAGATGGACAAACGAGTGGATTTATTAGAGTTACCTCTATGATGCTGATGCAGATCATAAGGTAGGGCGGTCGTATCCGGAAGTTGGGCTTCCGGGGCGGTAGCGGGTGCCTGGGCGTCGGTCTAGGCGTGATCTCGTCATCCTTTGTCTTCTTGTACGAGGAGGTGACGATGATCGGCGATTCCGGGGAATAGGGCGAGCCGGGGCCGGAATATGTGGTGTCGGTGCAATCCGACGAGATCGTCGACAGTGTTGGAGAGTTCTCCAGCAGCGCTGCCTCAACGTCCATGATGGCCTGGTCTGCAAAAAGAGATCACCAACTCCTGTTAATCATAGAACCAGAGAGATCTCTTTTGGATAATTTAATGGTTAAAATTAATTGAATAGAATTAGTTAAAATAAACTGATACATTCTCTGGTCCGGAGGATGACATTTCAAACGATAAAAAGATATTTATCCTGGATTTTCTGAATTCGATGATCGAAGATTAAGGCTATCAGTTAGAAGAAAAATTCAAATCGATATAGTCATGGTATTTTAAATATCGACAGAGTATTTGGTTCGGAAATGAAAGCACGAGTGATTTTTTTAACAAAAAGATAGAAACTGAAATATTTTATTATTTTGATTCGAAGTGGCATTTTAAGGGGGCATTCTGGTCTAGAGGCATGAATTTCGGGCGATTTTTGAAGCTCTGTACAAGCGAAACAAAAAATATTTTTGCTATCCTTCTGTTTAGCATTTGTTTATTGATATTTCGAGATTACGTGGAAAATTCACTGAAAAAAACTCAATATTTAAAAAGTTACGAGCTGGCAAAGTGGGTGCTGTCAAAAAAATGGGGTGCCGTGGCGTGCATGATATCAATCCTTCTGGTCATCCGAAACAAAAAATGCGAACGGATTCTTAATTAGTATGGATGCCGCTATCTTCTGAACCTTGGAAAAGTCAATACAACATTTTTTCACAAAATGACGGCCGTTTGAAAAAAATTTCTTATTCCGCACGTTTTTTTGACAATTCCGAACGTTTAAAAAATAGTAATATTAAAGATTTTGAGCCGAGCGTGGTCCGGACGATAGAGGAGTATATAAGGAATATTCGAACCAAATTTAAAATAAATCCGTTCAGTAGAACTTGAGATATCGTGCACGCCAACTCGAAAAAAGTAGTTTCGAGAAAAACGCGTTTAAAGTTTTGAGACGTAGGAACTCGGGCAGCGTCTACCGTTTATTCCACATTGGTCCCGGCCGGACCGGGGCAGATACTGCGTCACAAAAATGGCTGTAATTCATAAAATAATTGGAATTTTGAAAAATCCCTTTAAGGGCATATTCTCGAATGTCTAAACTTTGGAAATATGGAAAAAAATGTTTCGATTTTTTCACATTTCTAGACCAGAATACCCCCTTGAATATTAAAAAACGAAACACGACGCGAGAGAAACAGAGAGGAACACGCAACGATGATAGAAAAATAACTACGTTTCGCTAGACTGAATCGTCGTTCGATCATTGTCCCGTTATTGCGATAATCTCGCCGCAAGCTCGACTAATCGTAATTTATGAACCACTGCCTTCTTTCTTCATTTATCGTGCTTTCTTTTTACCCACGATTCCTACTTTTCTCGATAAATGCTTCTATGAAAATTGAAAAACGTAAAAGAAGAAGAAGAGGAAGTCGCAAGCAAAATCGAATCGAAGTGACTGGGATGAATATCGATTAAACAAAACTCGTTTCGAGACGAAAAGGATCGGAGAGGAGAATAGAAAGGCAAAAGCAATGGAATATATAATTAGCGCGAATAGGCTATCTAGACGAATAGTTAGCAGCGAATGGTTCCCTGAAGTCGCTTTAATTTAAGCCACACTTTATTGCTCGCCAGCTAGTAGGCATTAATTTGCTCGCGGTTTTAAGTATAGCGTTCCCGTATTTCAACATTTTGGTCTTCTTGTTGGAACTATCGTCTTCGATAAATTTCCGAGCTCCTGACTCTGCCAAGCGGCATTATAGGCGACGGTGTTTTATGTACTGCGGATACTTATAAATTTATGGTGAATTTAAATGTGCAAACACGTAGAAGAATGTATGTAATACGTGAGAATATTCAAAATTAGAAATGGATTTTCCATTAATAATCTTATAAGTAGATTAACACAACCGAACAGGGATTCGTTTAGTCAACATTGATATATTCGTCGGTTAATTAATCGAATTAACCCTAAACGAGAAGCTACCATTTGCTAATCTAAATAACTTTTCTCGTGAATATCTACCATCGGTAGTAATTCCATTATAGGAAATCCTGCGATAGAATCTTTGCGAAAATCCCAAGTTGTCCTAATTAACCAAAGAAACATCAAGTATTAAATTGTCCATAAAAAGAGAGAACATCGAGCACCATTTTCGACCCTCAAAGCATTTTCCACGGTCTCGCCTTTCGCAACGACCTTCTCGCACCATTCCAACCCTCGGCCTCGCAACGGTTCACTCCAGCATCGTTCACTCTTTAATCCAACCACGGTTGCGACGCATTCATTTGTCCACAGGTTCACGAGGTACAGGAACGTAGTTGCGGAGGACAGAGGTTCGTTTTGTGGAAAGCGAAGCGAGAGACAGAGAGCCATAGTGACACAGAGAACCACGCCACCGACTAGAAAGGAGCAAAGAGGGAAGAGTGGCGAGAACAGGAGACAGAGACGAGAACTTTCGCCGGGGTCAATCCTGGTGATCCCTTTGTCCGTTCCAGCAGCGGTCTTTGTTCGGCCAGTGTTGTCGAGCCACCATAGAATTTGCCTCTGAATTATTGGGGCTCATAGTCGAAACCAGACGATTTCGCCCGTTTCACAGCCCTTCTGCCTCTGTCTCTACCTCTGTATATACCCATGGCCTCGAGTGGAGTCGAGTCGAATCGAATCGATCTTTGACTACGAAGATCACGGAGATACACCACCCGCACAGCGTCCGGAATCATTTTCTCATTTGCGAGGTTAAGAATCGCAGTGGTGCAAGTTCTCTGCTGCTGTAATATATTTTGTAAAATAGCGTTCTGTATTTGTCGTTATGGAAAATTCGTTATATTTCTTCGTTATATTTCACTGTCGTTTGAGGGAAAAGACATATCGATCAACTCTGTATATAAATAGAAAACTAGAGAGAAACGATACTAGGTATGCTTATTTTTATTTTATTTTTAAAACGCGAAATGACAATGGATCAATAATTTCATCTATTTTATCCTCGATTCTTAATTGGACGTTTTAACGTTCTCTTTTAACTGTGTCAGAGGAAGCTTTATCGTGTTTATTCCTTGTGGTCTTCGAATACACCTCTTTCTTTGATCTTTCTATTTCAATACGATGTTTAACACGGGGATACGATCATCGACAATCGCCTGAAACTCAAACTTCCAGGAAAATGAAGATTCGCTGGCGTACATTGCTTAAATCAACGTCTATCCACCCTTCCTCATCCTCTGTCGCCCTATTTCCTCGCCTCGGACTAACTCGACCACGAGCCAACGTGTGACACAACGTTTGATGTTCATTATTGCAACGACCGATCGTTTTGTTTCGTTGATAAATGATCTCGTTGCGGTGGTATAGCGCGATTCTCACCCCCTCCAGCTTTGGTAAATGAATTCTGCGCGAAAGCAGAGAGAGAGAGAGAGAGAGAGAGAGAGAGAGAGAGAAATTGTGCACCGTCGCAGGTTGTATTGTCGTACTTCTTTTCTCTTTTCCCCTCTTTGTCGCGTTAATCGCGCAGGTTTCATTTTGTTCGACCACTCGACGAATGCGAAACGTAGTTTTTTAACATTCAGTAGCCTTGAATTTTAATTCCTGGTTATTTCACGGTACACCTGCTTCCATTATTTGTTTCATCCCATTCCTTTTCTTCGCTTTTTCACCCTGGTGTTTCGCCTTTTTTCGGCATAATGTTTTCGCTCACGTGACGTTATAACGACGTTAATACGTGATTATGAGACACTGTGCCTGGTAACATGGAACAAATTGAAACGTCTAATGGCCATGTTTCATCATACCGTGTTTTACGTGGTTGTTCGAGCGTGCAATAAATCTGGCAGGTTATTTTTGTTCGCCGAGGTATGTGCAGCATTTGATATAATGTTTTACTTGTTAGAGGTTTTATTGTGTCAAATATCTTTCTACCTAAAACACGTTGCGATTCTATTAAAATTTCATACTTCGTTAAATCGACATTAACGGTATTAAACGTATTTTTAAATACCTTCTTCCATTAGCTTTACCATTTTGTTACTAGACATCTCGTTCTTCTATCGTGTCTTTAGATCGACGTGATTTTCTTCCATCGATGTTTTCTCTTCTCTTCTCTTCCTCTTCCTCTTACCGTATTTTGTAATGCACGAGCGAATCTATCATCGGATTTATTAAAACGTACATGTTATCACGACGATCCTAAATACATGTATGTATGTGACACGTATACGTGTAAAATACCAAAAATATTTCAGAAAAATTCTAGCCAAGAAAAAAGAAACCAGGTAGAAAAATTGAAGCGGCGAAAAGAGAGTAAAAGATAAGACGATTCGACCGAGGTTTCTCAACGAGGAGAGTTCATCGTTCGGATGAAGCATCGACGTGACCGATGCGAGCGTGTACTTGTCTGCGCGTAATTAACGTAACGGCCGCCCAGCCACGCAAATCAAACGTACACGCACGACGTACGAGGAGCGGCGTAATTAAGGCCTCTCCCAGGCTGCACGAAGAACAATGCGACTCCACCCGCGTACAACACGCGTCAATGACCGCAACGTGCTTGATCACCGATAATCGACCACGTCCAAGTCGTTCCAACTGCCCTTTCATGCGTGACGACCGGCCTCTTCCTCTCTGTTGCTACAACCTGCGAGGATTCTTCCTTTTATCCTGATGCTCTGTTGTCCTTCGTCCTTTCTTTGATCTTCCACGTTTTTTGAGTTCGAAACGCTGAATGATAACGTACAATATTCTTTTTATTCTGTCTCTTGCTGTCTTCGATAGCAAGGGAGGTTTTTCAAGCAGCTAATGTGCATAGCTTGTTCCAATGAAACGAGGTATTTCGTAAGTGGATGATTTTTAATGGATTTAAGAATATTTTGCGATTACCGTTATTTTTTTTCTTTTTTTTTCGTGCTAAGATTAATATTGTTCAGATTTATTTTAGCAATGTCGAGCTTCTCCTCTTTTTTTATTCTTTGATGGTGATGAGGTCTTTTTTAAAAATAATTTGTGTAGTTTGTTGACGGAGTGAAGCGTTCTGGGTGAACTGGACCATCTGT